CTTCTGTGTCAACATGCTGTAATTGCAGTGGAGAATTGTCTGTACTGATGAAACATGCATTTGAGTCAGAGAAGTCCAGTCACCCTGGTTCAGACATTGTTTTCAAACTATATTTTATCATCAATTAGTTTTCAATTGGGCACAGATTGAAATAACTGTCACGGTTTAATAATAGTATATAATAATACACTAGCAATTATCATAACCAATGGCATTGTTATTGAAGTCAACATTATTAAATAAGTTTTATCCTAATTACCGAACCTTTGTACCTCTCAAAATTAAATAAAAATAATTTTTAATAACCCTTTTTGCACCCACGGAAAATTGTTTAACAAAAAACTGAAGAGGTTACATTGTATAGCCATACATGTATGTCATGTAGTTCCACATTTCATTTTATTTGAACAGTTACTTATTATTGCTTGGCCACTGAGGCGCGGATCTACACTTGCTTCCACCAATTCAAGGAAATCGGTCAGATTTTTCATCATAAATATGCTTTTACTAAAAAAACTTTCCAAGTTGAAATCTGGCCAATATCCCATCTGAATGATTTGGAAATACAGGAGAGGAATTAAAGGAGTTAAAAATCCAAAACCTTGCCCGCGGGAGCCTTTGGCGCTCGTTCAGGAAATCAGTCAGTATTTATCCTAGATCCGTCCTGCCATTGTACGTTGTATGTAATGTAAGCTCTTTAGTTTTTGTTTCTATGGTACCTCTTATAATATTCTTCTGAATTTATTTACTTGTCACTTTTGAAAGCAAGATAAACAATATTTCCCAGCACCTGTTAATTCACCCTTGCCTCAGATTCTTTACATCAACATGGGCTACAAGTATTCCATGGTACAAAATGTTCAGTCACAGTTTGTTTATACTACATCATCCAAATTGATAGCCTGAACAGTTGCTAGTTCAGCTGAAGGAAGTTCTATTAATTGGGAATTACAAACAGGTTCTTGCTCTAATAAATAATTGTCTATTTGGGAAAGAGACAAATTATCTACAATCATCTCAAATAAGTCATCGTCTTAGAGAAATTCATTCCACTCATCAAAAAACCCCTCGTCAAAATCATAGCCATTCTCCTCTAAAGGAGAAGGCTCAGATGACTGCATTCCTGTAGTCACATCATTAAAACCTTTGCTTATAACTTTCAGAATCTCCTGTGCATGACACATATCCCATATCTCTACAAATCTATAAACATCTGATAAACTGAAAATTGCATCCAGATTATCCAAAACTTGGGTGATTTCGTGCTCGGAGAATCCAAGCATAAATTGTAAATTTGTCCTCACATCACTATGAGCTGTTGTGTTCAACAGTTTGATAAGAATGGTCTTGTAGTATTGAACCAGGAGACCCTCAACAGTTTTCCTCTGCTCTGCATCCACTTGCCTTTTTCTAATTGATGCACCATTGTTTACTTTCTATTGAGAACAAGGATAAAATGCTAAAGCTCCACAATCAGGCAAACTGCATTCACAATCTGCAGCACATTTATCACAGCACAGATGCAGAACTTCGTGCTACCAAGTAATGCAGTTAAAGTGCTTGAGCAGATTTGTTTTTACATATCGTTTCATATAGCCATCAATATGGGCTAGAAGGATTCCATGGTACAAAATGTACACACAACTTTGAGTACCATCCCTGCCTGGTCTCCCAGTTTCCTGAATATAAGATTCCACATTTTGGCAGGTCCATAGTGAATGACTCTATGCACTCCCTTACAATCTTCCCCCATTCCGAAGGCAATCGAGGCAATCAACAATTGAATAGTTCCATTTATTGACTGGAAGGAGAGAAGAATTTTCTCTTTGTTTGCAGATGGTGTGCAGGAGTGAAGCATTTCCACAAGTGCATTTCCTGGATCATCATCAGTTCCACTATAAATATCCTTCCCAAAGATGCCTTTGATCATTCCGTATAAAACACTGTATTGCTTGATAGTCTGGCAATAAATAATGCTAATTTACCTTCCAATGTTAACTCTTCAACCAGCCACTCAAAATAGAACTCATGGTCAATATCTTTTTGCATACACTGCACAATGTAAGTTACGCATGGCTTGTTTGGGCCTTCTTCGACTTCAAATGGTTTCTCCCTAAGAAGGATGTTTAAAATTGTTTCTTTTTATCAAGTTATTCGCCTTTGCAGTCAAAGCAATCATGTTGGCATTTGGTGCTAATGATCACAGCTCGTGAAGTCGGCCATAACACTCACGCAATGCTGCCATTTTATTTTCCTCAATGTTCCCCTGCAATGTCTCCATGTATGTGAACTGTTAGTGGCTTGTGAGTGAGGAAAGAAAACATAAATTACTTTTAAAACAAAACAATACCAATGAAAACTTTTAAATTAAGATTGAATTCGTTTGAAATAAATCATTTTTTAAGAGTTTTACAGGAAAAGTATTGAAGAAACTGAACTTACAATGTTTCTAAGATAATTTTAGCAAAGAAGAATGGATAATTATTTTATATTATTGTTTAGTGTATGTGTTTGTTTCCCATTTTTACTCACATTTTTATTCAAATATAAGTGAAATTGTTTCTTTGAAAGTTTGAAACGTCTGTGATGGAAATCGCGATAAAACTCGGACTTACCAGTGCCGTAAAACATGAGGTTCATCGACAGCCACAACACAAAGTTTCTTCGAGTAGACATCATTACTCAACATACATAGCCAGCGCTGGTTCATAAGCCATGCTTCAGGTGAGCCATGGACAATTGAATATTCTCCTTCTCTATCTTTGCACGATCAACTTCAACGTTTGAAGAAATATTTACGACAGACAGACCAAGACTTCTCAAATACTTCACTTGATCTTCCATCAGACTAGCCAACAGAGACACAAAAATAACAGTATGACCGCTTTCATCGGAAATGTGGTCAAACACTAGCAGGAGAGCCTGGTATATTGGTGTCCGGTCGTTTCGATACAAAGTCGTTTCGCGATACAAACCATTTCGATACAAATCGAAGTCGATTCGTTAAAAACGTAAAGTCGATTCGATGCAAACTGATGTCGTTTCGATACAGAAGTAAACTCGAGAAAAGTTCTGTAAAAGTGTGTTTGTTTCCGTCTTTGATGTGTGGTGATTTGTTGTTTCCTATTCAAGCTAAAATTCGACTAACTGAGCGACTCGATCGATCGACGTAGTTATAATACCCAGTTTTCGCGCGACTCGATTGAACGAGTTGTATTATTCAGTTTCCCCGTGGCCTAAAAGAACAAACTTTATTGAATATTTATTTAAATTGCTAACCCTCTATGTCGTTGTTGGTTCAGACGGATTTCATGAACACGCTCCTAGAGGACGGCCATGTGTTGCCTGTGATTCTGTTCCTGCCGACGTACTGCATTAACTGCTGGAGTTTCTGAGTCGATGTCATCTTCTGAAGCCGTGCATACATTGCAGGAATCTCCTCTGCTGGAGGGAACGGCAGGGCCATGACCTTTCTGATGAACGCGTACGATCCCTAGTCTTTGTTGCAATCCCCCTGAAGTTTCAAATCTTCCTGAAAAAAGGGTTCCAGTGTGTTTTATACACTGATATCAGTTAGTTTAAAGCGTTTGGATTGGTTTATTCGCTGTCATTAAAACAATAGGGTAAAATATGTAAGTTTTTTAAAAACAATTAGTTTACGCGTCAATTGATACGATAATTTACAAACCCGCCTACTCACGCGCCAGAATAACTCCTGTTTCCTCCCGGGTCCGTTGCATCACCGACTTACACGACATTATTGATAGTATTTGTGTTTCTTGATCGTAGGTATAATATGCGCTGTGGTTATAGAAAAAGTCTCAAATGTATTTATGTAAATCTCTGTTCTCAATAAATAAACTTAACCAAAACTTAGTCTCGTTTGCGTGTTCTCATTGTGTTGGAGGTTTGGGTACATGTGGAGGTTCACGGAGGTATGTGTTTGTTTTATTTACAACGGAGGTTTGTGTTCGCTCTAGTATGGTATTCTG